TTCTCACTTTTCTCTCCTCGTACATCTCTCTATTCTTTATTCTCTCATTTTTCATCCCTTCCCAGGTGTGGTTGATGGACAAGTTGCAGGTTGTGGACTCTTGCCCAGCATATTTAGCTTGTGGCTACTTCTTACGGCAACGCCTGGTTGATGCCCTTGATGAAGGTTGGTGGTTTGACTAGATGTGATAATCCTATCTCCTTTCCTAGTGACCGTCACCACACTTTCCACAAGACCCTTGGCAATTATGATTCCTACCCCATTCCTGCGTCTATCCTTACCACTATAATACAGTTTAAAACCTGTATCCTCAATTTCCCTAGCTTTCTCTCCCGTCCACTTAGTTTCTTGTATGCAAGCTATACTAACTCTCCTCCTAATCATAACATCTACCAATTCCATCGTGCTACCAGTTAAGGTTCCTATGTTCCAAGTGGCTATCCTAAACCTATAGTCTTGGACTAGCTTCTTTACCCGCGCTCGTCCAGAAAAACGCGGAAACCTTTGCCCATTTTTCACCGCACCCAGGCGTCGATGCGGCGCCCCTTGCTCACTTTTCGAAACACCCGGAGGCAGGCGCAACGCGTCACTTGAGGGGAACGACCTAGCATTTAAACGATTCAAAGTAGGATTCATTTTCATAAGGGATCCGAGCGGCTTTTTTTACGTGTTGGCTGTCGGCTACCTAACACACAACCCTCCTCCTTAACCCGGGCTTAGGACCGGCGGAGTTGTTAACAACCCCGGCGGAGTTTAAATAATACAAATAATATTTAAAAAATCTTATCAAGCCGAGTCGAGCTGAGTTCGAATTTCATTATTATTAACGAGTCGAGCCGGACTCGAACTCAGTTAGTTATTAAGCCAAGTTCGAACCCAGTTAGTTGTCAAGCCGAGCTTGTACTCAATAAACAAGCTCGATAAACAAATCAGTCGAGCTTGGGCTCAGTAAAGCTTAGCTCGGCTCATTTATAACCCACCCTCTATTAGTACTAATATAACAATTAGTATATTAGTTTTAAGGCACAACCAAACAAAAAGAAGTTTTTCTTTTACAAAATTATATTTTTTTGGAAAAAAAAAAATCGTATGAAAACCATTTTTTGCCAAAACAAACTTAGCATTAAAACAATTTATAATTTAAATACTCCCTCCGTCCCAAAATAATAGTCTTTTTTTGAGAATCTAACTTTTTTTGGTAGTACAATTATTGAACTTTAAAAATATTACTGTTTCAAAATTACCCTTTAATACCATATTTTTTAATAATATCAATTGTCATAATTATAGTTTTTGTGTTGTTAATCAATTTAAAATAAGAACAAAATAAAAAAATTATATTATTTTAATCCTCAATTTTTGAAAAGAGAATAATATTATGAGATAATGAAAAATGAAATGAGGGACATATTCGGCAATTAAGAGGGAAAAAAAAAAGAGAGGAAAGAATCAATGATACCTGTATAAAGGCCTTGACACTATCACCATTGAGCTTAATCTCAAGGTTCGGATCATCAAGAAGCTGCAATAGCACATCCACCATGTCCTTTGCCACAAAATCCTTCTCTTCCTCCTTTCTCGCGATGTGTTCACCGAGCACGAGGTCATGAAACCTCTCAAATTTCTTACTCAAAGCCTTCATCCGCTTCACGTATCCTTGCAAGTCTAAGAAGTCGATCCACGGTATCCAATCTCCAACATTCACGACGCCATTAAGAAAGAACAACTCATCCAACATCTCCTGAAATTCTTCAACTGTCGAAACAGATTTGTCATGCAAGGATCCACTAATGTACTTTTTACCCAGTACAATTCTACTCATAACACTTAGTGTCATGTGTGAAATATGACCTCTAAGCATAATAGGCTTTCCTGACAAGGCAAAGAGTTGGGATATGACGGCTTGCCTCTCCTCCACGCGGATATATTCGTAGGACTCGAGCCTTTTCGCGCTAAATAGCTCAGTGAGGAAAATTTTACGCCCTTGGCGCCAATATGGTCCGTAGGGAGACCATGTTATGTTGGAATAGTTATAAGTAGTGTACTTGCCAGCAACAATTACAGGGCGAGAGGAGAAGATATGATCATGTGTCTTTAGGAATTGCTTGGCCATTTCAGCAGATGAGGTAACCACAACTGAGTAAGAGCCGAATTTAAGTTGCATTAGGTGGCCATATTTTTGGGATAATTTGTGGAGGGATTGGTGTGGGAGGGGACCGATGAGGTTTAGGTTGCCAATGATCGGCCATGGTTTAGGACCCGGTGGAGAGGTACGTTGGCAATGGCGATAATTGAAGACTTTTGAGAGAATGGCCAATGTTGCTAGCCATGTCATGGCTAAAACAATCCAAGAATGAGTCTCCATAGTGTGGTTGTGAGTTTTGAGGAGGATGAGGGAGATGAGTATTTATAACAACACCATTACATCTACCGAATTTATTTAACCCGAATTTGTCCGAATGAGAAGAGACTCATTCAGGTGAATTCGAGTTAAATAAATTTGGTAAATGAATACTTAAACTATTTATGAATTGAAACGAAGTTGGTGAAATTTCACTTTCACCTCGTTATAATTAACATGATCTATTGAATATCACATAATGTAAAAAATAAATAAACTTTATAACGTAAGAATTAATTTTGAAAGAAGAGTAATACTATATAAACAAAAAAAAAATGATATATAATAATTTGGTTCATTATGGATCTTTAATTTCAAAACAAAATACCATTAAAGATAGATTTAATTATAATAATGGTAATGCCACATCATTCTTGTCAAATTTTTTATATGAATTTTATGTAAAAATTTTAATAATAATAAAATAATTAGATTGGTATTATATATCTCACTATCATAGAAAAAAAGTATGATCTAATGAAGATTATGGATGGAATAAAATAAAATATTTTTAAAGTAAAAGAATGGATTTTGAAAACTAGTAAACAAGTCAAGTGTAATTTTATCTGTTAAAAATATATTTAATTGTCAATTTGTCCAAATATCATTTATATGTACATGTGCCACTTATATGTTCAACTATCTATTTAAATATTACCCATTTGTACATATTTCACTTATCAATTCACATATTTGTTCAACGGCACCTATATGTCCATCTCACTATCGGCCACAAACAACATTTTTGGGCCACTTTTTCAGTGACTTTTCAAGCCCTGTCATTATCACGAAAAAAAATTAAACCTTAGATCAAATAACATATAACCTCGTAGAAATGAATTTTTCACCAATTAACCCTTTAAAAAAAAAAAAAAAAACTTGTATAGTATTACATTTTGCACTTTTCTATTTTAATTAGGTGTTGTTAACTTGTGTTAAACAAGCTTAAAACAAATGTATATTGTTGATTACACTTGCTTTCACGCAAGATGTACAACACTTTTAAATTTCTTAACATCTATTCTAAAAGTATACACTAACAAAATCTTTTAAAATTATGAAAATGTAAATTCTAACAACATTATATATATATATATATATATAGGGTTAATTTCCAACAACCTCCTTTAAGATTTTTGACAAATTCACAAGAGATTATTTCATTTTTACCCTTATACTTTTGCACTATTTTCAATGAGCCCCTAAACTAATTTTATTTTCATACGTACTCCTATATTATTTAAGTTACTATCTGAGAGGGAGATTAATGATATGGACTTTGTGCCAGACAGATTTGGGCCGGGCAGAGTTGTGTCGGACAGCTAAAAGTATACACTAACAAAATCTTTTTAAAATTATGAAAATGTAAATTCTAACAACATTATATATATATATATATATATATATATGTATAGGGTTAATTTCCAACAACCTCCTTTAAGATTTTTGACAAATTCACAAGAGATTATTTCATTTTTACCCTTATACTTTTGCACTATTTTCAATGAGCCCCTAAACTACTTTTATTTTCATGCGTACTCCTATATTATTTAAGTTACTATCGATTTTGTCCCAGTTGTCACATTTGAAACAAAAAAAGTTAAAAAAATTATATTTTGGTCCCAAATTTCAAAAGAAAGATGCAGACCCACCATTTCTTACCAGAAAATGACTACTACCAACCACCATTTCAAACCCTTCTATCTCCTTTGTCATAACTCTATTTCGCCTTATTTTTACGTCGTTGGATTCAATTCACAGTCTAGTTTTCGTATCACATCTCACACGTCTCGTTCTTCCTCTTTTTGCATACTATCATAGCTCTAAAAGTTGATAATAATAAAAAAAAGACTTTTCTTCTCATTTTTTACTTTTTTTCAAAGTATCTTTCGGACTTTATGTCTTTCTCGATTCTTGACGGTTTTACTTCATTCTTTCGCCATTCTTTTCACCTCACTTCCTACTTCGCCTTACACTACCTCGCTTTTTCACTTCTTCGTGTAATGGACGATTTTGGTATGTCGAAAGTCGTCTGAAAACTAATTTTGAAAATTTCAAAACATTTATCTTTTCTTTCTTTCTCTTCCATATTCCTCATTCTTCTTCTTTTTCTTCTTCTTCACTAATAACATGATGTGGAACATGGTTCTAGGTGGTAACGGAACTAGTAATTGTGGTGGTGGTGGCGGTCCGACGATGGTGGTGGGTTTGGTATTGTAAGGTGGTGGTGATGGTAAAGCTCATGGTGGTGGTAATGGAACTTGATTGTGAAAAATGTGGGTTTGGTATTGTAAGGTGGTGGTGACGATAGTGCGCATGGTGATGATAATGGAGTTTGGTGGTGGGAAAGTTGGTGGTTCGAGTGGTGATGTTGGCGAAATTGAGTAAGTGATAAAATTGATGAAGAGATATATATCATCTTTATATATATATACATACATATCAATACTCTATCTCCATAACAACCCTGTTGAAATTGAATAGCTCCATGATTTTCTTCTTCTTTTCTTCTTTCCCAAAATTCTTCATCATGATCCAAAAAGACCCATTATCATCATGTAGCCTCCTCCGATTATGAACCAAGACAGATACAACAGAAAACAAGTTGATCGCTTGATCCCTTTCAAATCCATTTTCATTTTGTCTTGATTTCTTCACCTTTCCCTCATACTCCTTTGCAACCAACATAGCAATATCCACCAGCTCTCTCTCTCTCTCTCTAGATCTCTTTGTGGTGGAAAATATGATATTGTGATTATTGACTTGTGTTTTCTCTCATCTTTCTCACTAAAATAAAGAAAAAGCTTAGATGGACAATTGAAGAAGAAGAAGAAGAAGAAGATCATTACCTGAACCACCAACTTCACTGCCATCGAACTACATTACCGCCACCACCGCCATCACCAGTTTCGTTACCACCTAGAACCATGTTCCATATCATGTTGTAAGTGAAGAAGAAGAAGAAGAAGAAGAAGAAGAAGAAGAAGAAGAATGAGGAATATGGAGGAGAAAGAAACAAAATATAAATGTTTTGAAATTTTTAAAATTAGTTTTCGAACAATTTTCGGCATACCAAAATCGTTAATTACACAAAGAAGTGAGAAAGTGAGGTAGTGTAGGGTGAAGTAGGAAGTGAGGTGAAGAGAATAGCGAAAGAATGAAATAGAACTATCAAGAATTGAGAATGATATGAAATCCGAAAGATGGCTCGAAGAAAATTCAAAAACGAGAAGAAAAGTCTTATTTTTTTTATTAACTTTCGGAGCTCCGATAATATGCAAAAAGAGGAAGAACGAGACGTGTGAGATTTGATACGAAAACTAAACCGTGAGTTGAATCCAGGGACGTAAAAATGAGACAAAACGAAGTCATGATGAAGGAGATAGAAGGGCTTGAAGTGGTGGTTGGTGGTGGTGGTTTGCTGGTAAGAAAGAATGGGTTTGCATCTTTCTTTTGAAATTTGGGGCCAAAATATAAATTTTTTAACTTTTTCCGTTTCAAATGTGACAACAGGGGCAAAATTGATAGTAACTTAAATAGTATGGGGGTACTCGTGAAAATAATAATAGTCTGGAGGTCATTGAAAATCGTGTAAAAGTATAAGGGTAAAAATAAAATAATCTCAATTCACATGCTGGTATTTTCTTTTGGGGGGCTATAATAATTTTAAAATTTTAAAAATATCTTTATTGTTTATTTTTGTCAAGTTAGCTTTTATTTTTTTTATATAAAAAAAAATCTAAAAATAAAACAAAATAGAGCCATTTGGTTTTCAAAATCCTTTTTCAGAAAATTTTTCTAAAAATTTAAAACATAATTTGGTGAAAAAAATGAAAAATATTGATAATTTTCAAATAATTTTAATTTAAAACATCCAAAAGAGTTGGCTTGGTGGTCAAGGTCAAAGACCTAAAGTTATGCTTCTTTCAAAATTTCAAGTTTGAAATCTCTTAAGTGAACAATTTCTTAGGATCAATTTATAAAGACCTTTGTCTTGACTTTAATTAAGTCCCCTATTAATGAACGGTGAAATCAGTCTTTTGAATTAGTTAATCCAATAAAATTGATATCAATTTAAAAAAAGAAAAATTTATTTCTTAAAATTCTAAAGAAAACTATTCATAATTTTTTTTAAGAAATTCAAAAAAAACAAAAATTATAAAAATTTAGTACATTTTCATATTTTTATATATTTATTAAAATTTTAAAATATTTTATTTTTTAAATGTATCTAAGTTATGCACATCTAAAAAGTAAAATATTACTCATTCTGTTCTAAAATATTAGTGTCTTATTCTATTTTTTATTGTTCTAAAATATTATTCACTTTTCAAAGATTAAATAATAAAATAATATGAATTTACTATTTTATCCTTCTTTTAAATTTATTAATAATACAAAAAGTATAATTATGATAATGGATATTCTAAAAAAAATACTATCAAAGGGTAATTTTAAAAAATTGATATTTTTAAAATTTAATAATTATATTATTAAAAAAATAAAAATTTTCAAAAAAAATCTTTATTTTGAAACAGAAAAAGTACTCAAAATAGTAAAAAAATTTATTAAAAAAAATAAAAATAAAAATCAACATCTTGGTAATTCACGTTTTAAATTTTGCAACATGTAGTTGTCAAATCTAACAGCCGTGCGTAGTGTGGAAAAATTACAGAAGTGGTACAGACTCTCACGGGGTTCCACGCATCTGAGAGAGAGAACAAAATATATATATATATATATATATATCTATATAAATGACATGATGAATGATTGTCAATCAATATTAAGGATCAAGGGATCATCCATTTGAGCGAATCATGATCCTCTCTTTCATTTCTCATGTTAACTTTTTTCTTGCTAGGTTATTGGGTTTATTTTTGATTTAATTTTGATAATTTCAATTGTTTATATTTTTAAATTTGTTAAATATATCATATCTATAAAAATTTAAATTGATTAAATATTATAAAGCATGTGTTCGAAAAACTATTTATTAATTTTTTTTAAAAA